ATTCACACTTCACGAACAACTTTCAATTCTTTACCATTCTGCTCATAGGTAGCAGATTGAAACATGAAACCACCTGTATCGTTCACGAAGGTCACCCGACCATTTTCTTCGGTTCTCTCAACTTTTCCGCTGATGAGTAGTAGGCTATCGTACAAAGCATCATATGCATCGGATGGATTGATGTTGATTTCAATGACATCGTTGTTTCGAAAAGACTTGACGTAAGGGTAGTAGGTCCGCCACTCTACCTTCTGTATGAATTGATCGTTTCGTGGTTTTCGGAAAATATTGAACACTTGATTGAATAACATGAATGTTATCCAATGTTGCAACAAATGCCTCAGTTGTCAAGTCCAATACAATCTCTAAGTGGATTGCTTTGGTAGAAAAACAAATGAATAAGCAAATATAACATTTATTGACTTTGGTACCTCTACCATGGATATATTTTATAATGAAAGGGCCAGCATAGTCTATACCAGTTATATGAAATGGAAAAGTATGGGTTGGAGCTCGTCCTAATTGTATGTGAGAGGTTAATCAGTTTCTGAATACCACATTCAACAACAACAAATAATGTGCCAATAGATGGCCTGTAAGATTACCAGATCTTACTAATTTGAACTATTTTCTAAGGGGGACATTGAAAAACAGAAGATAGAAAATGTGGAAGACTTGAGATTGAGGATTTTGAATGCTTCCGCAACAATGCAGCAAAGAAGTGTATTGAGAGCAATAAATAATATGAAAAAAATAGTTCGAAAATGCAATGAATATAAAATGATGATGAATGAAAATACAATGATGAATATTATAATTGCAATTTTCATTGCAATTATAATATTCGTTTCGAATGTTATTATTGGTATTATTATTAATTCAATGTTTATATGAAAGTAGCTGTTTCAGGAGGACTTTCTTTCAGTTTGTGTCTGAAACTTACTTCTCAGAACCAATGGAGCTATATTCGATTTTTTCACACCGTTGAATGGGTCTCTAAAATAAGCAACTTTGCCACACTCTAACCGACACTCTATCTCTTATCGTTTACGAGATCCCCATATACAGAAACCAATTTGAATAGCCCTGTATATATTTCAGTGAGACCTATAACGAAAGAAAACCTGAAATCAACTGACTAGAAAGAGTAATAATTATATTTCATAGTATGATGAGTATTATATAATAATGTTTTGATTTGTTACCTGTCATTTATCTTGAGGGAGTCATAAGTGCATATGAAATTCGAACACTCCTGTTTCATATGAACGACCTTATTTCAAATATGAATTTTGATAATTGAAAGGATAATTGTTTTCATTTGTTTTCACAGCAAACTCTATTATAGTCTTTCACGGAGAAAATCAACTTTACTATCAGGAGGCCTTACTTCTTCATCTGAATCTCTTCATCTCTTCAAATATACGAATTTTGCAAATCGCTACAAGTTTCCAAAGTACACATTTACTATCTATCCGTCCATCATTACCGGTCCCGCGATCTTCAGCAACTATTTCGGACCAATATCCAGCAATTTACTACCGATTCATTTAACGAACCTTAACAGATAGTGTTAGATGCCATCAAGGGCTTGATAAGGTAAAACGTTTTTAATTTTTTCAAATGACAATTAAATATTTTTCGATAAAACCCTGTATATAAGCAAATGTATGCCAGATTGGTAATTGGCAACTTTCTCTTCCTTTTCATAATGAAATTCTACATAGGGTATAAGAAAAATATTATATCATGAAGTTAAAGAAATAACAGTATTTCATTGATTTTACACTTTCAGATTCCGCTTTAAGATAATTAAGAAATAATTTACTAATTTGATACCTTAGTTATATCAAGAGCATGTATATTCTTAAATATTGCAAGGTACTGAAATATTTCTTTTCTCGTCAAAAAATTAATTTCACTTTCAACGAGATTGAGCCATTGAACGTCAATACCAATAAATGGATTCCACAGCCAATGTGCACAAAAATTATGCAGCGACAAAACTATGTAATTAACGTTTTCAGACCCATACTTTTGGCAACATCGCTGGAAGCGGGAACGTCACACAAATATCCATTTTTTAACACATCGGTCTGAAAAATTGGTTAAATATTGTGGGACTGATAGATACTAAGGAATGTTGTAATTTTTACATGTTTCGCCATACAATGGCTTCTTCGGGCGTATCTTTACTAACAATATTCTACATATTCAATGCTTAATATATCTAGTTTCACAATTAGACGTACCTACATTTCAAGTACCTGATTGCTACCTAAGTTTGTGATGAATTAAAATTCTTGAGCTTATGTCCCAGTTTCCACATTTGAAAAAATATTTAGTAAAGGGGAGTAATTCCATTCTAATTGTTCATTCAGTAAATTACCAGAATTCCTGATTCTATTGATTACTTAATATTCTAGAAGATTGAGTTTCAAACTCCTCTGTTCTAACTGTAACACGTCCCTTTCATGATTGAACTCATGTCCTTCTGCTAAAAGCTGGTTTGCAAATGTGAAATTGGTCTTTCTATTTACAAAACTACTGTTATGCTCTTTAATTCTTTGGGAATATCAGCATGAAGTTGCTGCATTCAATATTATGCTTCACAAACTATTGAATATTTCACTGTCTAAGAGTAATTTCCAGAGACAGCTGAATTTGATCAAACAAATCGCGGTCAACAACGGTCATAAGGTAGACCTTATAGACTCCATTCTTTCCAAAAAAACTACAAAAGCAAGCCATAGACCTGATATACCCAAATTAAGATGTGATAACGTCAGTTATAGGACATTTGCGTGAACCAACTAATAATATTGTCCCTTTTTTGAAGAAAGAATGCGTAAACGTAGCTTACAGAACGAATAAGTAAATTTATTGAAAACAATAAAAGATAAAACTTCAGTGTCGGATAGCTCAGGAGTATATAAGCTGACTTGTGGCTCTTGCCAAAACTATATATTGGTCAAACGGGGGGAACATTTTCTCAAAGAGTTGAATAGCATAGAAGTAGTTTCGTGAATGGAAAGACCAATTCCACATTTGCAAACCGCCTTTCAGCAGAAGGGAAGAGTTTGAAAATCAATCTTCTAGAATATTCAGAAATCAATAGAATCATGAATTCGGGTAATTTACTGAATGATCAATTGGAATTGAATAACTCCCCGTTACTAAATATTTTTCAAATGTGAACATTTGGAGATAAGCTCAGATAATTCAATTCATTAAAACTTAGGTAAAAGTAAGGTACCTACTTCTAATTGTAAAATTAGATATATTAAGCATTGAATGTGTAGAATATTGTTAGTAAAGACACGCCCGAAAAAGCAATTGTATGACGAAACACGTGTTGCGTTTTTGTAAAATTGTTTTTGTGAAAATCTCACAATAAAATGTTTTTTAAATACGTTGACTATAAATGGTCTCAAAAACTCAAGAATCGAAGGATCATATCAAAAGGCAATCAGTGATTGCCACTGGCTAGCTTACGAGTTTTTTCAACGATCTGCTGAATAACCCACCCATTTATAAATTTGGTAATAATCTATTCACCTTTACACAGTTTGACGTTGTAGAAATTTGAACTGTAACAAAAAAATCTCTATGTTTTTAACACCTTTCAGATTATTTATAATCCAAGTAATAATCATAAAATTATTGTATGAAAAACAAAAAGAGGTGGTAATTGTTTATACATAGTTACTTTCCAGAATGCATGTATTCAAAAAAAGATCTTCTACTTACCAAGCATTTTCAGTATTCTGACACCGACCACTTGTACTCATTGTTACCAAAAATGCACATACACGAAAATATATTAAATGTGAATTCAAATAGTAACAACTGCCTTCCGTAGACAATCTGCAGTGTTGTCAAATTGATGGACGTATCATTATTATTAAATTGAAATTTGAATATTCAAAACAAATATTTATGAGCGCCTCTGGCGGTATTCCTTCCAACTGGAAATATTTATTTTCTTTCAAACTTTCTTGAATTCTGCATCCGAATGAAATATAAATATGCAACAATGTTTTCTGATTGGCTGTTGGAAAATGGTCCGAACGAAAGGGGTGGTTCCGATAACCAATCCTCCAACAGAAAAATGCGTTATATGAAGTAATGCAAGGGAAGGACATGGAAATTGAAAGATTGTACTGCTGCGTCCGGTATACGTACGCAATACGTTTTTTTATTTAGCGTATTTTGTAGGGACAGTGCCCGTAACAACTTTTTATAGATCGTATGTTATCAGGACGGTCCTCACAAAATGGATCGGTTGTTGTGAGGACTCCATTTCGATATGCTTCAATGTTGAGAATATTTTCATTTAATAATATTACAGATCCTAAACTAGTCGCAAATAGTTCAGTTTATTGTTTTAAAGTTGCGAATCAAGAAATACAGCCAAAGCTGTGATTGAAAATAATTCCAAAGCAGTTGCAAATATGTTTCTTCGATGATTTTTTAAGTTGTGAATCGTGAAACCCAGATTTCTATCATCTAAGACTGTGTTGGTAATGGAACAAACCAGCCCCGAAAATGAAATCATGAACACATTTTTACGTTATTTAGGATGATGATAAAGGCTAGGGCGGTTATCATAGAAAAACTGCTTGAGTTGAAATGACTATTCAGAGTATGATCATGGTGAATATTTATTGTTTTCATCATGAAGTTTGTAAACTAGAAAGCGAAATCTATGCGGTGATAAGGCCTGACTTTTCTTCAATTTAATTGAATTTGTTTTATCTATTGAATCTATGTTAATACTAAATATATTACTTTACGAATACCATGTAGTACGCCTCTGTGCTGCTACGCTGACCACAATGTTTACAGAATGAAAACCTTTCTTCCTCCCGCATCCCTACTGTCTCCGCCAGCCCATTGCATCGTGTTGTTGACATTGTTCTTTTTGTGCTGTGACAGCAAGGTACGCTTTGAACCACACATCAGATCGTGAGTAATACTAATCTTTCATAACTTCTTTTAGGTTTTTCTTTCAGCGATGGGTAAAAGAAGTAGAAGCTCATCGTCATCAGAAAGTGACGACGTTAATATATCCAAAAAAGAACTTTGGAAGCGCCTTGACCGATTGGAGCGGAGATTAAAAAAGAAACATCGAAAACGCTCCCGCTCACGATCGGCTGCGGACGAGAAACGACGACGACGTTCGATTTCTCGCCAGGCGGACAGACACGAAGACCGTATCCCGAGAGAAACGGCTTCATCTACTCGTTCTGAAGATCGATATTCGCAAATATCGCCAAATTACGATCACGGCGAGTGTATCCTTGGAGATTCAACGTCGCAACCTCAACAAACGGAAAAGGAAAGCACACCACCCCTTATATTAGAAAATGACATAGTATTGGAGGAAGACTTTCTAGTTATCCTAGGCGAAGACCCTCAAACAGAAAATATAAACACTACCCAATTGAACAAAGCCATTACTTCAAGATGGGTGGCCTCTTTGAGAAACGGCCTTCCAGAAAATGCATTGACAGATCTCAAGAACAAATATATACCACCATCTGATATAGAATTGCATCCTCCAGAGGTCAATCCAGAACTGTCGCAGATACTGTCAAGCACCCTAAAAAAGAAAGATGTCTGTTACTCAGACATACAAACTCAAGTCGGACGCGGGTTAACTGCCCTGGGCCTAGGACTCGATGTTATCCTCCGTGACAAGGAAAACATTCCTAAGAACACGAGAGATAACTTATTGGAGCCACTATGGGACGCAGGCAAATTATATACCGATTTGTTCTCCAAAATCACTGAGGTAAGACGTTCACTCTTACTACCGGTATTGAATGAGTCAGTCCGCGACATTGCTGAAAAAACTTCAGCGGATCAAACCGTATTTGGGTCTGACTTTGGAGAAAAAATCAAAAAGGCAAAATTGTTGGAACAATCTGGAAAAGAACTCCTACCCCAACCCCCCCAAAAAATAACATACAGAAAAACCATGTCGACATCAAAAGAGGGGGGAGAGACAAAAAGGTCAGTCGCCGGATATTCGGGTGTGGGAAACCCGTACCGCCCGTCTCGTACCACGAGAGACTCGAAGACGTACAAGGGCCGATCCTCGAAACCCGAAACTCATTACAAGAAAACCCGATAGCCCACGTAAGTGAAATTAAACAAGGCGGCAGACTGAAATACTTCATTTCCAACTGGAGAAGAATAACTTCTAACCCACTGATTCTATCATGGGTAGTCGGTTTAAAAATCCCATTTTTAGAAAAACCAAGGCAGGGCCAAGCCCCTGTCGGAACTAATTATCCCTCAAGGGAATTTTTGCAAGTTAACATGGCGGTTAAAGAACTCATCTCTATAGGCGCCATTGTTGAATGCAAAATGAATCTAGAACAGTTTATCTCCAGAACTTTCCTGGCCGACAAGAAAAATGGGAAAAAACGGTTCATATTGAACTTGAAGCAGTTGAACGGTTTCATAAGGAAAACGCACTTTAAAATGGAAGATTATCGCACAATCTCGAGAACGCTTCAAAAAGACAATTTCATGTCCACAATCGACCTTAAAGATGCGTATTTCTTAATCCCGGTGGACGAGAGCCACCGAAAATATCTACGATTTGAATTCGACGGAAAGCTAGACGAGTTTACCGTGGTCCCGTTCGGAATTTCAGTAGCGCCGTTTGTTTTCACAAAGCTACTTAAGCCAGTTATTAAATCCCTGCGCGCGCAAGGGATATCGGTAATAAACTATTTGGATGATTTTTTGATCATTGGCAGGACGTACTCTGAATGTAGACAAAACGCAACGATAGCGGTTACTTTATTGGAATCCCTCGGCTTCCTGATGAATGCTGAAAAAAGTTCGCTAAATCCCGAAAGGAACGAAAAATTCTTAAGTTTTTTGTTCAATACCGAAAAACTCACTATTGAACTTCCAGAGGCCAAAAGGGATATGATCAAAGAAATGATCCAATTATTTCTGAGTAAAAAACACTGTAAAATCAGGATATTGGCTGTTTTTATCGGCACATTAATATCCGCCTGCCCAGCCATTAAATACGGCTGGATGTACACCAAGACACTCGAAAGAGAAAAAATGTTGGCATTAGCTTCGAACAATTCGAATTATGAAGCAAACATGCTCTTGCCACAAACAGTTTTACCTGATTTACAGTGGTGGTCCGCGAATATTGCAAAATCGAACAACGATTTTAAAAATGAGACTTTCGACTTGGAGATTCACACGGATGCTTCGCTCACGGGCTGGGGAGCTTATTGCGACCGGCAGAGGTCACGCGGTTGGTGGACAGAGGCGGACAGGGCCCACCATATAAATTTTTTGGAATTACACGCCATTTATAATGGCGTCAGATGTTTTGCTAAAACACTCAGAGATTGTAAAATCTTGATACGCACAGATAACACAACAGCATTATCATGTGTAAACAAAATGGGCAGCATTAGATATCCTCATCTGAACCAAATCTCTGGGATGATTTGGAAATGGTGTGAGGAGAGAAATTTGCTCATTTTCACTTCATACATCAACACAAAAGACAATTGGATAGCGGACCGAGAATCCTGTTCAAAACAGACGGAAACTGAATGGTCGCTCTCCCCCTATGCCTATTCTCAGATAATAAAGGAACTAGGCACTCCGGAAATTGACTTGTTTGCCTCATTTACCAATCACAAGTGCGACAAATATGTTTCTTGGTTTCCTGACCCTAATTCCTTTGCAGTAGATGCTTTCACCCTGAATTGGGGCCGCTATTTCTTTCATGCTTTTCCACCGTTCTCACTGATTCTCAGGGTTCTTCAGAAGATCATCAACGATGGGGGGAAAGGGATAATTTTAGTACCGATGGGGCCTACCCAGCCTTGGTTCCCCCTCTTCAGAAGACTCCAATATGGAGAACCACTTCTATTCAAACCCAAGAATAATTTACTGTCTTCCCCTTCCAGCAAAAAGCACCCTCTGGCTTCGAAGCTTACCCTGGTCGCCGCCAAATTATCGGGAAAGCTTTCAAACTGAAGGGACTACCAGAATGCGCTCTAAATACGGCGCTGGAATCTATAACTCCATCAACCACAAAACAATACGATTCCACCTATAAAATGTGGTGGCGATTTTGTCAAGAAAACAACATACCCCTCACAGGTACCAAAATACATGGGACACGCAGCCGGTACTTCAGTATCTTGCAAAAATGTTCCCAAATGAAAGTTTATCTCTGAAGGACCTTTCACTCAAGCTAGTTACTTTGCTGGCATTAATAACGGGTCAGCAATTATTTTCGCCATAAAAATAAACAACATAGTCGTACAGGGTTTCAGATCTTCATTGCGGATCGAATAAAAACGACCGGCGTGAACAAATACCAGCCTTGCCTATCTATTCCCTTTGTTGAGGAAAACCCGAACCTTTGTGCGGGAAGACTATTAAAGCAATACCTGGAGAGAACACAACCATAACGAAGGACTGAGCAGCGCTTATTCATCATGTTCAAATCCCCCCACCAATCGGCGACAAAGCAAACCCTCAGCAGATTGTTCAAGACGGTTCTGGCAGCAGCAGGGGTGAATACTAATGAGTTCAAACCTCACTCGACGAGGCACGCGGCAACTTCAAAGGCACACAGAAGCGGCGTATCTATTGACACTATTTGCCAGACAGCTGGATGGACAAACGCGTCAACATTTAGGAAATTCTATAATAGACCGATTCGCTATGGCGAACCTGGTCATTTAGAACGAAATTTTCATTTTCTACTATTTGTCCCGAATGCTGAGATTCTTATTTCCGTTTCATTAACAATATATCACATATTAATGTAGAGTTCAGCACAAAATAAACGTTCACAAGTTAAATACTTTGAACAACTACATGGTATTCGTAAAGTGATATCTGAAGGACTGGAGGTGAAGTAAAATTGTACGATCAAACGAACTTACCTTAAGTGATGTTCGATCGTAATTTTATGACACCTCCAGTCCGAAGATATCACTCTCCCGCCCACCCATCATCCCGACTTGTGAACAGCAATAATTGTCTTTTAAACAAATGACAACCAACACGATGCAACGGGCCGGTGGAGACAGTAGGGATGCGGGAGGGGGAGAGGTTTTGATTCTGTAAACATTGTGGTCAGCGTAGCAGCACAGAGGCGTACTACATGGTATTCGTAAAGTGATATCTTCGGACTGGAGGTGTCATAAAATTTCGATCGAACATCACTTAAGGTAAGTTCGTTTGATCGTACAATTATTAGTTAGTGATATTTAGTTATAACAATTAAAAATGTTAGATTTGAAAGGGTTATATTTTTAGGAGTGATTAATTTTTTGGGAAAGAAAGTTTTTGGC